ATTTTTGGAAGAGTGAAAATAGCTATTTTAGAATTTTATAAAATAGAATTTAGAAAAATTATTTTTGGGTTGTCACAAATGACCTTTAGATTCCCCATGTCATACCCATGCATCAGGAGGTTTTCGAATACTTACTGGAATTTTAAGGATAATGTTCGCGTCACGATCATTAAAGACGCTTTCACGCATTCCACATCTCATCCTGATTCTTGCTCGTTAAATAAAGAGCATACCGGAGCCTCCATAATAGAAACATGCAAAGTAGTACGCATGTAAGGATTATAAACAGTGGAAAGCCACGGGTCGGATCCAATCATAGTGCTTCTGCCATCACCTATACTTCTTCTACAACCCGGTTTGATAGAATTCTTAGCCTCCAATATCCCTCGCCCACTGTTGCAAAAATCGCGCCTAGGCGCCGATTAATCGGCGCCTAGGCACGGCCTCCTAAACGCCCTAGGCGCCCACCTAGGCGCTCTAGGCGGTCCCTAAGCGCCTAGAAGGCGCCTAGCGATTTTTTCAACATTGCCCTCGCCAAATGAAAGATGGATTACTCCCAATGGCTGCATCAAAAAAAGAACAGTGTGGGTAATAACGACTTTTATATACATGAGCAACGAGCGAATCCAATCTAGTAATAAGTCGCTACTCCTGTCTTCCCAGGAGCGCAAGATTCATTTCTCGGATTCTTCTAAACCCCAACCCTCTTTTGTCCTTAGGTGAACATAATCCACTCCATGATTTCAATTGTAGGCCTTTCCCATTACCAGTTGTCCCTGTCCACCAATACGAATTCAAAATTGTCTCAATGTCCTTGCAAAGCCCGATGGACAACAAGAACACCATCATAGCATAACATGGCAAAGCTTGGAGGACGTTCTTTAATAACACCTCACGTCCCGCACGGGAAATGAACTTTGAATTCCAGCTACGAACACAATTTAGGACTTTATCTTTTAGGAAACCAAAAATCGCCTTCTTATTCCTACCCACCAAGGAAGGAAGCCCTAGATACTTGCCAGCTGTATCGCCCTAGCTAACTCCAAGAATACTCACAACTTCGTTCCTATTCTGCTGCGACACATTAGAACTGAAGCAAACAATCGATTTATCAAAGTCAATCCTTTAGCCTGAGGCAGCCGCATAGATATCAATAACCCCTTTCATCTGATGGCTTTCCACACTGTTTGCCCGAAGAAACAAGAAACAATCATCCGCAAACAGGATATGGGAAATCGATGGGCCCCACACGCAACGCTAACACCATGAAGCAAACCCCTACGCATTCTGTTATCAATTAAGGCACGCCTTCCGCGATCATCAAGAAGAGGTAAGGATTTAACGGGTCCCCTTGTCGGAGCCCTCTACCCAGAACAATTGGTCCCAATTGCCTTTGCTCATGAAGAATGTGGTATTTAACATAGCTCACTGTTTCAAGGAGGATATCCACCAATATTTGCTCGAATCCCATTTTAACCAGAACAGCTCGGAGGAACCGTCATTCGACCCGGTCGTAGGCTTTACTCATATCGATCTTGAGAACCGTGACCCCTTTGTTGCCTTGAGTACTGTCTTGCGTTTGAGATAGTGATGGGCCTCATACGCCAGCATTATGTTATCGGTGATGAGCCGGCCCGGCACAAACGCACTCTGCACAGTGGAGATTAGCTTATCAAGGAGAGGCTTCATTCTGTTCGCACAAACCTTTGCCGCTATCTTATAAAGGAAATTACATAGAGAGATAGGGCGGAGATCCTTCATGGATTCGGGGTTTGCTTTCTTCGGGATTAAAACAATAAAAATGTCATTTGCTTTGGCAGGCAAACGGGCGGTCTCTATAAACTCTTTGCAAAACTTGGTTACGTTTCCTCCAAACTTGGTTATAGACTGAACATTTATTATCTATATATCATCATATGCTTAAGTTGAAAAGTAATCGCTATTTCCCATCACAGGCCATGCAAAGCTGGCTGAAAAATGCTGTTAAGATAAAATTGGGTGGCAAACAACATACTTTGATGGAATAATTAAGGAGCAGACCTGGAGCGAAGAAATATGGAGCGAATCACACCCGGCACCGAGTGGACTACGCACGCGGCCGGACAGACCATGGAGGGGTCTACCTCCCCGGGGTCCTCAACTACTACCACGGGGTCCTCGGGGTCGGCCTACGTAGGCTCGGCCGGCGCACCCCGGGTCGGCCTACGCGGGGTCGGCCACCCTTTGGGGTCGGCTCGACCAGGACGGGGTCCCCGCGTTGTCCGAGTCGTGCGGTGGCAGTTGCGACTCCTCCCACGTACCCCGGGCTACGCTTTGGACCCGGTCCTGAGCTAGGACGCGGTCAAAGCGCTAGATCCAACCATCCCCCAGTTTAGGGGGAGCGGTTAGAGGTTTGTAGCATATAAAAACCCCTCCCCTTGTCCTAACAAGGGACACTTGATTCCTATCTCATACTTTTTTACAACATTTGTACTGTTATTACACGTCCCGAACCTCTGTAATAGCATTTTATGTCCAATTAATACAATATTTACCGTTTTATTATTCGTTCATCATAATCAACATATATTCGGGTTGTATAATCCGGACCCCCGGGTTCATATAATCCATCATTGGTGCTCTTGTTGAGAGCGGCTGTACAAGCTTAAGCGCTCTCCCCATCATCATTCATCCACAGCGATGACAAGATCCGGGTCGAACACCCACAACTCGCAAGGTTCACGCAACACCCGCGACCTCTCCCTCGCCAACCACCCCAACGGGACCACGGCGAGTCGGCAGACCGTGCCCGTGGGGACGGGAGGGGACCTCAGAGATCAGATTAACGGGAACCGGCGGAGGACCTCTGGGGTCGGCTCACCAACAATCGCCCGCTCAGCGGGTCGGCGCTGCCCGTCCCACCCCCGATTCCGACTCCCCGGGAGGAGGCCGCCACGCTCGAGCAGGCGGCGACCGCGCTCAACCGCGTCGCGGCGGGGCTGCGACGGGGTGCCCCGGCACCACCACCTCCGCCCCCTCCTAGGGAGCACGGTGAAACGAAGGGCGTAGTATCCTTTGATTAATTTGATTAATTTTTTAAAACAAAAAACTATTCCTTTCTATATTTCATTTTATCTGTTGTATTTACTATTCATTAATCAAATCAACACTTTTTTCTTTGTTATTTTCTTTAGTATTTTCACTTATTTTTAAATTTATTTTTTTTTGTTTAATAGTACTTTTAATGCAGTTTTGAAATATACAAATTTTGTATATTAATGTTAAACTTAATATTATAAAAAATTAAATTAAAATAACTTAATCAAACATCGTTAACAGAACTATACACATAAAATGAGACGGAGAAAGTAATAAATTTAGACTCGAATATGATCATATATTCCATCTATTAAAGAAGAAGAAATTCCATAACTTTTGATGCAGCCCTATATTGGCTTTGTTTACTTAGCTTCCTTATAAGTTTGGAGTGAGGTGACCGGGTCTAAGATATAATCCGACAAATAAAAAATTGATAACGTGATGGAGGGGTGGAGGCGGCTGATCCAATTAAGTTGATAGGGGTAGCTCATTGTATATATTGTACTGTTGTGGCCAGATTGCATGCATACATAATTATATACATATATACATACATATTGTAGTAATGTACGTAGCAGTAACTAGTTCCTCAACTAATCCCATTTACTTTTTGGTCCTTCATTCAATGCTAGTATTTAAGGAACGAAACCTTTCCCTACCGAATTAGGTGGGAAGAACCGAAGAAGCTCTCTTCCAATAATTTTCCTTAGCTTTCTTCCTAAACTAAGGAACGTAACAAAAATAAAGGAGCTTATGTTAATGGCTCTACGCCCTTATCCGCATTTGCATGCCTATAACTTCACTCTATCATGTGCACGCCATGTGTCCATGAAAACTACCCATCATGATACAACAATGGAGGATTCGAGTTCGAACTCATGTGTAATCACTATTTAAATGCCTGCATTAGATAAATCCTGTTCAAATTAAGAAAGTCAATAGGTTGTTCACTTGTTCCCACTAAAGTCAAAAGTCAATAGGTCGTTCCTACTAAAAGCCTAGCTTGTAATTAACATTCTGGTTACTAAATCAACCGTCTAACAAATTTGTCTGGGTTCACATACTTGAAGTCCATTTTTTTTGGGTGATGAGTGAAACGTGTAATCACTACCCGAGGGGCTAAATTCCGCCTTGTGAACCTAATCAGCATATGACTACCACCTAAAGATGTGTACTGCTGGTAGATCCCGCCTTGTGAGCTTACCTGACAAGGACCACTACTTAAGGGTGTGCATTTGGTAAACTCCGCCTTGTGATTCTAGCCAGCAAAGGATAACACGGAAGTAAACCAACTCCACTCAAACCAAAAAGAATGAATTCAAACTTATGACTTTGTGGTTATGCATTAAGTATCTTGACTCGTTACCCCTTAACAACCTCTTCAAAGCATAAGTTGGGTGAGATGGTGACGGTGGTACGGTTTCAGCAATATATAACGGCGGTTTGTAAATAGAGCATTATGAGCGGCTCTTCAACGATATCTGGTGGCATTTATTGTCTGGGATTGTTATTGTTATTATTATTACTCCTATCTTCACACACCATTACTTACTCTATTATATACAAATCATTAATTACTAGTTAATTATTATTGCAATAATCTGGATTGTATGTTACAGAAACACCAATAATTATATGTTTACAGTTTATGCCTATATGCATATATTATTGGAGCATCCACAACACATGCATGCATAATCTTAAACCGACAAATTAGTACCAAATATGATCAAATTCACCTTAAGATCAGATTATCATTGTAACTTAATCATGGCGTAATCTATATATATAGAGAGAGAATGTATGTATAGAGAGAGAGAGAGAGAGAGGTGGCGTGGTGAGCTTGCAACAAAGTCCGGCCCCCTCATTTATTGCCACCATTTCCCATCGCCATTGTTATACTATAAATTACTTTACTTTTCCATCTTCTTCTGCAATTATATTCACGCTTCTCTCTTGTATTTTTATCGTTTTCTGATTAAGCTCCGGCGGCTGTATCTCTCTCTGTGCCTGCATTTCTCTTTGAATTGAAGCAGCCTTTTTTCCGGTAAAAACTCAGAAACTCGTCGGATTTTGTGAGTGGGTTTCCGGTGGTTTAGTTTTTTTAATTCTTTTATTTTTTTTATAGGGTGGCTGGAAAAGATGGATTTATCGACGGCTTTGATGATACTGGCGTTTGTAGCGGCTTACTTTATTTGGTTCAAATCCGTCACGGCGTCTTTGAGGGGGCCGCGGCTGTGGCCGGTGGTCGGAAGTTTGCCGGGGCTGATAGTAAACGGCCACCGCATGCACGAGTGGATTGCGGAGAATCTACGCGCTTGCGGCGGCACGTACCAGACCTGCATTTTTGCGGTTCCGGTTCTTGCGCGGAAGCAGGGTCTCGTGACGGTCACGTGTGATCCGAAGAATTTAGAGCACATTTTGAAGGTTAGGTTCGACAATTACCCCAAGGGTCCCACGTGGCAAGCTGTGTTCCATGATCTGCTGGGGGAGGGGATCTTCAATTCTGATGGCGACACGTGGCTGTTCCAACGGAGGACTGCCGCGCTGGAATTCACCACCAGGACGCTGCGCCAAGCCATGGCTAGGTGGGTTAGCCGCGCCATTAAGATGCGGTTCTGTCCGATCCTAAAGACGGCTCAGCTCGAGAGCAAGCCGGTTGATCTCCAGGACCTCCTTCTCCGGCTCACTTTCGACAATATTTGCGGCTTGGCTTTCGGGAAGGACCCACAGACTCTCTCCCCTGGGCTCCCGGAAAACAGCTTCGCGTCGGCTTTCGACCGAGCCACGGAAGCCACGCTGCACCGCTTTATTCTCCCCGAGTTTATCTGGAAATTTAAGAAGTGGCTCGGGCTCGGAATGGAGGTCAACTTGAGCCAAAGCTTGACACACGTGGACCACTACTTGACTGACGTCATCACTACACGTAAGCTGGAGCTGGTGAGTCAGCAGGAGGGCGGGCCCCAACACGACGATTTACTCTCCCGGTTCATGAGGAAAAAGGAGACATACACTGACAAGTTCCTCCAACACGTGGCACTCAATTTCATCCTAGCTGGACGCGACACGTCATCCGTGGCTCTGAGCTGGTTCTTCTGGCTAGTCAGCTTGAACCCACGTGTGGAAGAGAAAATCCTGATGGAGCTTTGCACGGTTCTGATGGAGACACGTGGCAAGGATACCTCAAAATGGCTTGAAGACCCCCTAGTCTTCGAAGAAGTCGATCAACTGATATACCTCAAGGCGGCGTTATCCGAAACCCTAAGGCTCTACCCGTCGGTGCCGGAGGACTCAAAACACGTCGTCACCGACGACGTATTGCCGGACGGAACATTCGTTCCCGCCGGCTCCAACATCACATACTCGATATACTCAGTTGGCCGGATGAAATTCATTTGGGGCGAAGATTGCTTGGAATTCAAACCGGAGAGATGGCTATCCAAAGACGGCAAGAAATTCGAACTCGACGATCAGTTCAGGTTCGTCTCATTCAATGCAGGCCCTAGGATCTGTCTCGGCAAGAATTTAGCTTACCTGCAAATGAAATCCATCGCGGCGGCCGTGCTGCTCCGCCACCGCCTCGCGGTGGCGCCGGGCCACAAGGTCGAGCAGAAAATGTCGCTTACATTGTTCATGAAATACGGTTTGCTGGTGAACGTATTCCCTAGGGATTTGGCTCCGTTCATGGCCAAGATTGGCACGCGCGACTCACGTGATGAACCGCGTCTCGCAAATGGTAATTGTTACGCTCAAGTCGTCACCGTCAACGCTGCTGCTTAAGAAGCCAATTAATTAACTTTATTATTATATTATAATGTGAATAAATCAAATTATTATAGTACCATAAAGAAGAAGATTTGTATAACGTTTTTTCTTTTCTTCCCCATAATCCTATTTCTTTGCCTGAAATAGGCGAAATCGCTTGTCCCAAGAGCATCACGCCTCAACCCTCATAAAATGGTACAATCTTATTTATTTAATATACTATATATTGTATTTTTACCTATTATATTAATCAATGTTGATAATAAAATCTCAAATTTCTACTTCTAGATTCTTGATATATATTTTGAATTTCATGTTTTATAATGTTTTATTCCATTTTATTTATGTATTTTATTAGTAATTAAGATGAAGGACAAAAATTTAAACCATATAATACTATATATTGATTTTATTGACATGACTTTAAGGGAGTTTGGTAAATAGTTGTTAGCTGATTGAGTTAGTGAGTTTGACTAGTTTATAACATTAAATGATTATAGAAAGATGTTTCGTAAATTAGCTGTTAGCCGATAACTTATTACATGCAAAATGACTTTCTCAAAAAATTGATCGAAAAAGTTGTTTTGGGTAACTTTTTGAATTTTAACGTTTTGAAGTAGGGTTGTAAACGAGGCGAGCCGAGCTCGATAAGCATAGTTCGGCTCGAGCTCGGCTCAGCAATTTTTTGAGCCGCTCGAACTCGTCTCGAGCAGCTCGATTGTTCAAGCTCAAGAGTTCGAGTTCGAGCTGGAGCTCGATCTCGATTTTAATCTCAAGTTTGATCTATTTGAATTCATATTTTAATTAATAGTAAATATTATTTTATCCATACATAAATAATAAAAACTTTAAAAAATTCAAAACTCCAAACTTCAAGATTTAGGATTTTCAATTCCTACTTTTTTAAGTAATATATATATATATATATATATATATATATATATATATATATATATATATATATATATATATATATATATATATATATATATATATATTATTTATTTATTTAATTATGGCTTGCGAGCGGCTCAACGAGCCACGAGCCTAAAATATTTGAGCTCGAGCTCGAGCTGAGCTTTGACCGAGTCGCTCGGTTCATTTATACTCCTATTTTGAAGTAATAAGTTGTTACAAAAAAATTAAATAATCAAATACTTATATTGGTTGTTAACCAAATTAAATAACTAATAATAGTCAAATAAACTAAAATTGATTGATAAGCTAATTAAGTATTTAACGCGTTTTTGTTTTGCCCACAAAAAAATTATTGACATGACTTATTGTTGTCATTATATAATGTTGGGAATTAAAGAGCATTCAAACTCGAACCTAAGTTGACGGTGTTTAAAGCGACCATCAAACCTTGACAGCGATTTACTATTTTATTCGATATGACTAAATTAATGTAATGTGGGTCTGCCAATTATTTAATTTTCCATTTCATTGATTGGTTCAAAAATATTTTTGAAAACCATTGGTTTAATTTAATTCCAAATATAAATTTAAAATAAACAAAAATATTATGGGAGTAAAAATTTCTCATTAAAAATACAGATCATTTTTGAAAGAATCTATCCAACCACCATTAACCTATTGATCGATATGTATAGAATCAACCATTTGCTCAACTATCTCTCATCCGATAAAACATATGAATTTGAACTATCACAGTATACTACTCCCTATAAATTTTGGTGAAATTAATGTCAGCCCTAATTTCTATTTTTGTGTTCATAATTAAATGCTTTCATAAACTACTTTTACTTTTATTTTATTTTATTTTTAAATTAGATTGTAGGAGATTAGAAGTTAGAAATTGAAACCCGTTTAAACGTAACTTTTGAAAATTGTTCTCTCGCGCATAGATATATGTATATAGAATTAGTTTTTTTTTTTTTTTTTTTTTTTTTTTTTGGACAACCCCTAACGAAATTGGTCAAATAATTGACTGGCTAATTAAAATGTTCTAAGTTTAACTTTCTATAGGAACTAGTGAACTACCTATTAGTCTTCTTGCTTTAAGACAGGTAATCACATGGTATTCTTAGTATGGTTTATCACTCCACTCTGATCTGCAGTAGTCTATTATACAGGTCGGAGTGAGATTAACCCATTACACACTCTCGAATAGTAGCTACAAATTTTCCTTATCACCTTAAAAAAAAAACAATAATCTAATAAAGACTTTTGTGTATTTTTTTTTTTTTTTTTTTGAAAATAAAGACTTTTGTGTATGAATACAATAAATTGAAGAATTATGGTTGTTGATCATACATTAATAAATATGTAAATGATATGATTTTAATATCCTAAAAATAACATTTTTGCGTAGCGTCCAGGGCATCACTTCTTGGCCATATAGGTAAGACTTGTCGGATGGATTGGGTAATTAATTTACGTACACTCCCTCCAATCATGCATCTTATAAACCTAGTTTTGTCCCATGAAAGTTTTATACTTTTATCGTGTTAAAAAGACACAACACCTGGCCTCTTAACATGCTTAAAAATTTGTGTAAGATTATTTCATTATGTGAAACAAATATCAAATATGTGATACTTTTTAATTAAATCGTACATAGTATTTTTTGTTTTATAATACTTTTTGATAAAAATGTAATATTATTGACTCATAAAAAAAATATTTATTTTAGTCCTAAAAAAAGTATTTATTTTTAATAAAATATATTTGTCTCAAGTGAGATGGTTTTATATAAGACCCACCGTAAGGAGTATTCTACGGTGTATTTTAATTATTCTGCGTAGTTGATAATTTGATATTTACTTTTTGTTTAAGAGCATCTACATCAGTAGATAATATGGGGAGATTGCATGTTGCGGATTCAAGATGAAGGCAGAAAAAGGAGGAAGAATTATGTAAAAGGGAAAAACTGTTCCATTAGAATGAACACAGAGTTTATATACAGCTTGGGAGAAGCGAGAAAATAACAGAAATAACAGACGATGTCAACTGCCTTGCAACTACTAGGGAGGGTGAGATGATGCCAAGTGTCTTCCATCCGTGTCTCCTAAAAGCCTCCCGCAAGCTGGATTGTATAGATTAAGTAATCCAAGCTTGAAAACATAACTGAAGAAGGAACTAGGACAATAGGCTTTGGTGAAAACATCAGCCAATTGGTTTCCAGAAGTAACATGAAATAGCTTGATAGTTCCCTTTTGCAGCTTCTCCCTGATGAGATGGCAATCCAACTCAATGTGTTTTGTTCGTTCATGGAACACTGGGTTCTCAACAATAACTATAGCTGATTTGTTGTCACAATAGATAGCTGCAGCCGTGCTATGGTATATGCCAATTTCAGTTAGGAGATAAAGCAGCCATTGTATTTCACATGTGGTTGCTGCCAAAGCCCTGTATTCTGCTTCTGAGGAGGATTTAGATACTATGACTTGTTTCTTTGATTTCCAGGATATTAGAGCTGGCCCTAGAAACATACAAAAGCCAGAGACAGATCTCCTGGTATCCACACATGCTCCCCAATCCGAGTCAGTGAAGGCTTTTAACTGTAAGTTGGATGAAGCTGGAAAGAAAAGACCTTGGCCAGGGGCACTTTTGATGTATCTTAGGACCCTATGTGCTGCTTGTAAGTGTAAATGAGTTGGCTTCTCCAAGAAATGAGATAGTTGCTGGGTTGCAAAGGTGATGTCTGGCCTTGTAATGGTTAGATATAATAGTTTTCTAACCAATCTCCTGTATTGAGAGTTATCATCTAACAAATCACCTTCAGTTTTGCTCAGCTTTTGTGAGGGGACAGTTGGACTGTGAACAGGTTTGAAGTCCATGAAACCTGTATCTTTTAGCAACTCAAGGGCATATTTCCTTTGGGAAACTGAGATTCCTTTCTTTTGTCTAGCCACTTCCAATCCAAGAAAGAACTTGAGAGGCCCTAGATCCTTTATTTGAAAGTTGTCATTGAGCTGTAGTTTGATTTGCTGTATGAGTTCCAAATCAGCACTAGCTACCACAATATCATCAACATAGACTAATAGTGTCACAAAGGACTTCCCTTCACCTTTAGTAAATAGGGAATTATCAGAAATGGCTTGCTTAAACCCCATATTCTGCAAAGCACCACACAACTTGGTTTTCCATTGCCTGCTTGCCTGCTTTAAACCATATAATGACTTAGTTAGTTTGCAGACCTGTCCAGCTTTATTACTTTTACACCCAAGAGGAAGCTGCATATACACTTCTTCCTCTAAATCTCCATGAAGAAAAGCATTGTTCACATCCATTTGATGGATATGCCAATCTTTGGCTGCTGCTATGGCCAATAAGGTCCTGATTGTTGTCATTTTTGCCACTGGGCTGAAGGTATCCAAGTAATCAATTCCAAGGGTTTGGGTGTATCCCTTTGCCACAAGCCTAGCCTTGTATCTATCAATGCTTCCCTCAGCTTTGTACTTGACTTTCTTACATCCAATAGGGATCTTGTTGGGAGGTAGATCAACCAGCTGCCAGGTATTGTTTTCTTCAAGAGCTGCAATCTCACTGTCCATGTCCTTCCTCCAATACTCATGTTGGACTGCTTCTTTGAAGGTCTTTGGTTTAGTGTGATGAATGATGTTCATAACAAATGACTGAAAATTTGGTGATAGCTTACTGTAGCCCATGACTTTATGGATATCATGAGGAGATGTTTTTATCACAGAGCTGTGACAGACATAGTCCTGGAGATAGGCTGGAGTTTGTTTCTGTCTATTGGACTTTCTAGCTAGCTGATCACCCTCAAGATGTGCAGGCTGGAACTGGTTCTGATCAACAGGTTGATTGACTTCTTCACTTCTATCAACCATGATCTGTGAGTGATTATGAGTCTGAATGGGGATATCAGCAGTCTGGTTCTGCTGTCGAGAGATTTCAGTAACTTCACAGGGGATATCAGCAGGATTGTCACTCATAATAGGAAGGATGAGTGAAGGTGGCTCCATTCCAGGATTGTTACTCAGTTGAAATGGGAAGATGTGTTCATAAAATGACACATCTCTAGATAGAAATACCTCTCTGGATTGCAGATCATATAGTTTGTATCCCTTGGTGCCATTGGCATATCCAATGAATATGCACTTTCTTGCTCTTGAGTCAAACTTGGATCTGGGGCCTAATGTGGCAGCATAAGCCAGGCAACCAAAGACCTTTAGATGTTGATACTGTGGAACCTTCTTGACCAGCACTTGATAAGGGATCTGGTTATTAATGGCAACAGAAGGTAATCTGTTAATAATATAGGCTACATGTAGAGCACACTCACCCCAAAAACAT